GGGGGGGGGGGGGGGGGAGAACTTGCTGCCAAATCAACTGAATCAACCCAACCCACTCAAAGTACCCCCCCCACACCTTCCCGCCAGTGCTGACACTCACCCGTGATACCGGTGTCTCTCGACACGAAAGTCTCGTCGGGCGCCGGCACCAGCGGCAGCTTCGACCCGGGCTGACCCGCCGTGATGCTCGCCAGGAGCGCGTCTCCCCTCTCCTTCTCCGCCGCGGCCGCGGCCGCCGCCGCCGCCTCCACCCCGGACGCAATCCCTCCCGCCCCTTCTCCCGCCCCGCCCTCACCGCCCGATCTCTGGTGTTCCAGGTCCGCTGACGTCCGCTTCGCGGCGTGAGCCCAGGCAGCGACGTGCTTGGGCACGGGCCCTAGGGTCCAGCCGGTGTAGAGGGGAATCGGGCCCATGCCCCCGTCCGGGTGCACCCTGAGCTGCTTGAACGGCGGCGGCCGGGCGCGCGGCCCGAAGACATCGACCGGGAGCGACATGCGCTCGCCGGTGGAGGGGCAGTAGTACAGGTAGCTCCTGAGGTTAGCGGCGGGCAGCGGCAATGAAAAAAGGAGGAGGAGGAGGAGGATTAGGATGCAGGCTCACTGGTTTCGGATAGTTCTATTGTACAAAGCGTGAGGCGATCGGGCTGGGCGGTGTGCGGCGTTGCGGGTGTTATGCGTAAGGAAGAACTGCCGACTTCCGGGAGCAAAACGCCACGCACACCAAGAGCCAAAGGCTACTGTATTGTACAAGAGAAAGGCCACATTGTTGCGAACACTATGCGACGTTGGGGGGGATGGGTGGGGTGGGGTAGGCGGACTCGGTTCCCCATCTTCACTGCCGAGGTGTAGCTTATTTTATTTAGTTCGGGGGAAGTGGATCATCGCCTCCAGTCACACCACTGTGTCGACAAAGTCAACGAAGCGAGAAGGAGAGCAATGCCCCCTACATGTCCAGCTACCAAGGAGAAAGATTCCGTGGATACCCTCGGAACTCATCCGCTGATGACGGGCGACAAATAAACCACTCTTTTTCTGCTCCTACAACTTATGCCGGGCGTAGGACGACGCACCTGTCTATGAATAGCAGAATGTGGAAGTGCGGAGGGAAAGGATGCCGAGACTGTAGGATCTTCCGCAGGTAGTCCTCCCTCGTGCCACTCCTGAAACTGCCACCAGAACTTCCACCTCCGCCGCCGCCGCCGCCGCCGCCGCCGCCGCCGCCGCCACCACCGCCGGCAGCAATCCCGCCGGCGTGGTACGTGCTAGCGACGCCCAGAGCGACGCCGCCCTTGCTCGCTGCCCCGCCGCGCCTTTGCACGGGTACCGTCTGCGACAATATCGAGCCCCTCCCCCGCCGCGAATCCTGTTCCGAGGGTGCCCAGCATCACAGCAGCGGATCGACAAGCAAGCCCATGGGACGCGGCAGTGATTTTTTCGGCCATGTGCATCGTGCATGCCATGTACATGGTGCATATATATACACACCAGCATTTCCGTTTGTCAAATGCTCCTATTCTTCGAATGAAAACCACCGCAGAGAGAAAACGATGACACAACAACCTGCAGGCACGGGCTAGACTACTGCTCGCTAGACGTACCGACAGTAGACGGGGTTTCTGCCTTGGCGACGCCCGCGACCTCCCGGCAGCAGCGGCGGCAGTCGCGCCGTCCTCGTCGGCCTCCATGTCCTCCTCGTACATTTGCCACGATCGTGCGGAGGACCTGATGTACGCACACAACCACCGCAGGTGTTGTGTAGGAAGTTAGCATAGACAATAGACAAGCAAGCAGGGTTGGCAGCCTCAGATGCAGGCATCATCTGCAGAGGTGCTCATGAGAGGAGCACAAGACAGCGGCTCCCCGACCCAGGCGTCTGCACGTGGCGAAGGTGGGGTACATCGGAGTGAGTCTCTTGAGCAGCACTCACTCTCCCCTGCACCCACAGACTCAGACAGGCCCCTTAGGTTATCACGGGCATTTCTTCAGCAGGTATGCGAACGGCAAACGGGCAGGGACGGCACTCGAGTGCTTGCAAAACACACCCTATAAAAAACCCACCTCAAGCTGGCGGAGCCAGGCGACGCGAACGACGACAGCACCGACCCGGGAGGCACGACCCCTGCCCTCGTGGCCGGCGACAAGGGCAGAGGGCTGCCGAGGTACTGCAACGCGTGCTGGGCGGAGGCCGAGGCCGCCGCCGCCCTTCCCCCAGCTACCGAAGCCCCGCCCCCGGCCCCGCCCCCCGCGGCTCCTCCTCCCCGCCCGCCGATCGCCACGGAGAGCTCGGAGGAGCCCCCGCCCCCGTTCGCCGACAGTGCAGACAGGGCGAACTCCGACAGGATGCCCGAGCCTGCCGGGTGCTGGTGTCGAGAAGAGCGAGAAGCCGTGCCTCCCGCTGGAGGGGGAGGGGGCGGAGCGGGGTTGCTACCGCCGCCGCCGCCGCCGCCGCCGGTAGTGGAGCCGAAGGTGGAGCCCAACCCTAACCCCAGCGTGGAGCCCAGCCCTAACCCCAGCGTGGAGCCCAAGCAGCCGCTGTCTCCACCTATCGCGCTGCCCACGTCGAAGAGACTGCCAGGGCGCGAGGCGAACACGCGCCTGTTGCTGTTGTTGCTGTTGGTGTTATCGCTGACCCCCGGGCTTCCCCTGCTTCCCGGTGCTGCTGTTATCGGTGGAGAAAAAAAGAAGAAAAATCGTACAACAGTGTTTTAAGAAACCACGTGGTTCAAGACACGCAAAAAAAAAAAAAAAACAGGGGGGTGAGGGGACAGAAAGAGCCAAGAGCTAAAAACGAACGTGAAATTATGCGCAAGCAAGGAGAAGGGATGGGCGGCCGTAGCTCGTGGGTAAACACAAACAAGAGTCGAGTCGAAACACAACAGATTTCTATTCCCACTAAACCCAGGTGCGGCGCGCGGAAACACAAGGAAGGAATGGCCAAACAAAAACAGCCGAGATGCAGAAAAAACAGCACAACACGAGCCACCACCAAAGACACCTCACACCTCACTCACCAGATGATCCCACGTTGGGGCGGTCTGCTCGACTGGACCACAAGCTCGTGAAGATCGGGCGGCCTAGCTGCCGGCCCAGGTCGACCACGCTCTGCATCGCTTCCAGGTTCCTCTCGTGCAGGTCGTGAAGATTCAGCCGACCCATCTTGTAGCTGTGCAATCAGCACCGACAACGACAACATTGGATAACATTTGACAAAGCGTCTTAGAGGGCGAGAAGGTACCAAAACACCTCCCATGACGCTTCACTGTCCTGTCCTGTCCAAGGGCCCGACAACCACCGGGTCGACGTATTCCTCCGACACAGCAAGTGAGGCGTGCTTCTCACACAAACCGACCACCCAAAAAGTAAAAAGACAAGACACAAGAGCTTATGTGCAGCTGTGAGCTGTGCCCCACACACAACAAAACACGACTACCTCCAACCACTGGACACACAAGCGCCACGACTTCCCCCCCATCTCGGGGCTCCAAGCACACACCTCTTCCGCCTCGTCTTGAAGCTGCAGAAGCAAGTCCACAGAGCCCGCCGATCCCCGCTCATCCCGGGCTCCAGGTCCATCGTCACCACGAACCCGTAGCCCGCCCGGGCGGCGGAGCCGCCAAGGCCAACGAAATTCCGCTGCCGCCAACCACCGCCCCCGCCCCCGCCCCCGCCACCACCGCCGGCACCGCCTCCTCCGTCCCCTCCTCCACCTCCGCCTCCGGCGTAGCCGTAGGCGGCCCCGCCTCCCGTGGTGGCCGCTGCCCCGGGGTGACCCCCGCTCCCGCCGGTGCTGTTGCCGCCGATGTTGCCGCCGGGCATGGAGGAGGCCTCTCCGGAGTAAGAGCCTTCGGTGCCCACGGACTGGCTGTCCATCCGGTCTCGAGGACGCGTCTGAGGGTGGTGGGTCTTGCCTGGAGTTGCCGTTCGGGTGTGAGGGATAGTAAGAGATTAGGAGGAAACAGAGAGGCGGCAAGGAAACCGGAACTTAGAGAGGGAGGTCTTACGGCTTCAGGGTACATGCACCGGTGACAGAGGATGCAGTTTTTGCGCGGGCGGGCTCGATAAGCACGATCCTAACGCTGTGGATTGGGGGGCTAACTCGCGCGGGTTCATCAAGGGCAACGACAAAGCATCCCTCGGCAGAAGAGCAGCCGGCACATCACTCTCCTCGACCAGTATGCGGTATCGAAAACGCGGCTACACTAGACTAGCCAAGCAGGACGCCATTGTCTCACCTAGCAGAGTCCCCACAGATATCCTCCTTGGTTTGTACTCAGCAGAGTGTTTCTCCCGGATGCTGCTGCTTCTCTCCTCCGCCTGCTCCTGAGGAACGTCGCCAGTGCCTACATGTGTGTGTGGCGGCACGAAACGGCAAAAAGTAACACAAAAGTCCCATGATTCATCACGTGTGCGGTTGGCTGGGACCGATCGATCTCAACGGCCACGATGTTTTCAAGTCCTGCGCGACGCTCTTGTCGACCCCTTGCCTCTTTGCCCTTGAGGACACTAGCAACGGCGTTGTGCAAAGAAGGACAGCAAATGACACCCTCGCCATTGTGCCTTCCGTGCTCGGGGGGGGGGGGGGCGTACTCATTTGTTGCTTGCCTTAGTCATTTGACCATTGACCACCCGTCCCTTTCCAAACGGAACGTGCTTGGGGGGGGGGGGGGGGGAA